AGTAGTCCATCAACATGGGCTCCCGTACGGGTTAGAATTTTAAGAGATATATACAGTAGGTATTGGTTATTATTTAATACCTTTGACTAACAAAATTTACTTATATTAAATTGATTTTTCATTATGTTTGCTTCCTTTTCTAACACAATAGCATAATACGTATTCTATAGCCTTTGTAATCTGTACATCTATACTAGCCATATATATTCTCTTTAGATGTAACAATTTCTTAGCATGATATGATGGTCATATATAAATCTTGACCAGACAACTATTTTAGTATACTCTTTGTTTCTGGTTGTTGAGTACGTTCTCCAATTCCAACACTAGGAAGCTGAAGCATGACCATGCAAAGTTGAACTTTGTTAATTCAAGACACTAGCTTTGTTTTCAAATTATATAAAATTATCATTCTAATATAATAAACAGATACATGTCTGTGACTATGTCCTTGTCACATTATTTTAATATTTTCCTTACTTTTGTGGATTTTTTTAAGTAGTTGAGATGAGTCGTGTATTTTTACTTATTTCAGAATTTTTGTGGATGCACGTGTATTGGGGTTTGGGTTGGAATGGGTTGGGTAACTGTTCCTGTGGATTTTGGATGCTAGAAGGCTTGGAGTGGTTTGGATTGGATTGGGGAGGTGGAGTTTAATGCTGTGGAGTGGATTATTAGAGATGGAGTGAGTTTTGACCCATTACCAGGCCATTATATTACTATGCATAATGTAACTTTTTATATATATATATGCAACCAGTGAGCCGCAATCTTTTTGTACGTACATACCCTCATCAGTTAAATTAATTCAGTAGACGAAAAGACCCCCATTCAACCTGTGTGTTCTCCTTTTTCTACATAACAACCCAAACTTTTGGGTTTGAATATGCCTGCCAATTCAACCTGCTGGTCATCATCATCTGAGAAAGTTCAGCTAGCTAGTACATCATCTTTTACTACTTGCTTGGCTTGTAATTTGGCTCCGTGCAATGCCGGCCATGCACCTATAGCTAGCAGCAATGCATCATCGATCTGTCTATCTATACCAATTTTCTTTTCTGAAAATCATCCCATTTTTCTTTCCTGAATCGTCAATCTACCTTTGGAATTGCAGCAGGCTTTGAGAATTCAGCTTGTGCATTCATGAGAAAAAAGGCCGGCGGTCGGCAGAGGAAGAAGAGTTAGCAGGAGTAGGTGATAACTAACTGACGACGACCTTGACTGCTGCTGAGGCGACGCGGTGATAGTTGCTCTGATATGTGGCCGTCGTTCGCAGGCTGCCATCATATCGTCGTCAACAAAGGTTCGGCGTCGAAGACGCGGACATGCAGTGTACGTTTGTTGCTTGCTTCAACTCACAGTAATACTCTTATAATGTTGACACAGCTCGATCGCAATGCATTGTATATTTGCATATATGCACGTGTGTGTAGGTATTCCTATTCCATCATCCATCGCCAAATCTTTCAGTGTCCCTTTTGACCTTTTTCTTCTACCTGCCTGCATGCTGCTGCAGTGTGATGACGGATGGATGACGCGTTGTAGATGCACGCACCGACGCGTCTGATGTGTGCGGCCTATTGTTTTTATAATACAAACGTAATCTTTATTTGGGTGAGGTATCATCAGGTATATATGATGGGACCTTATATACTGGGAGTATATATATATAATAGTAGTATTGTTTTCCAACGGCAGGATGTGAGTTTTTGGAGGATTGTGTTTCTTTTATTTATGGAATCTGATATGATGTTGCAGCTGATCTTGTGTATAGTCTGAATCCTGAAACCATGCTAGCTAACAACCTCGCTTGTTTGTTAAAAAAATGGGGTGTTGGTGCAGCGTCGGCCTTACTTGCTTCCTTCTTCTTTCATGCCCCTCCAACTCATCGGGGGATGGTATGGTCTGCAGTCCTCGATTGCCGTGTTGTGGTAGCCGTCGCCTTTCTGGTAGTCGGATTGTGAGACCGGATGTCTGAATTGTCCAACTTTACCAGTTTAGGGTTCCTTCGGTACAAAGGAATAGGAAAAACATATGAATGTGATAGGATTACATATGCAAAACAGAGGGTCTGTAGGAAAACACATGAATGAAAAACATGAGCTTGGAGTGGATGTTATGAATCCTACAAAGTTCTTGTGAAGTAGTACCCAAAGAAAAATTTCCTGTATTTTTCCTATGGCACAATCCAATGTTCCAAAGGCAGCGACAGAAACAAATCCTATTGGATGAAGAATCCTATGTTTTTCCTATGAAAATCCTCTGTTCCAAAGGAGCCTTTAATGAATGAACGATGATATAAAGTTTCCGCCCAATTTCAGAAGAAATCTAGTACTTCCTCCATTTTCACTAGATGTCGTATTAGCTTTGTCCTAAGTCAAACATTTGTATCTTTGATTTGATCATTGATTTCAAAAAAAAATTATAGATTCATGTCATAAAATAGATTCACTATGAGAAATACTTTTATGATATATAATTCATATGTTGTGAAACTATAAGGATTTTTGAAATAATTGGTCAATGGTAGTAATATTTGACTTATGATGTGACATGTATAGGTTGCCACATAAACAGAGAGAGAGAGAGAGAGAGAGAGAGAGAGAGAGAGAGGAGAAGTGAGTTTTGTGTAGACGAAAATCTCCTCGCCTCGGTCGGTGTCCAACTCCAAATCAGTCATGGATTTAAAAATAGTTTACGAATAGAATAAAGTTATGCATTAAGGGTGATTATTTCATCTATATTTTATCGTACTATTCTATCTGATGCGGTATATATTTTTAGAAACAACACTATAAAACTAGCCACTGAGAATGGCCTAAGATAAATACTTGTCTTTCCCTACATTTGTTTATGAGTAATCGTAGGCTCATATGCATGTTTATGCATCCAATAATCCTATATGAGATGACAAAAGGAAAATATCTATGCTAATAAATTGTCGGCAGCTAATAATTTAGTTTCTTAGTTGAACTATATATAATATATAGATGCAGATATATAAATTATTGGCAGATAATACGTACCGTATATATATGTGTTACTATTGCAAGTCTACGTGCCTAGGGAGAAGATGTCCCTGTGAAGAAGGTCCAGTTTCGCCTAACACGCGCGCTGTCGCGAACTCTTAACTAACCAAGCTTTGTAAACGTGGACTCTCTTTATGCGTCAAAAAGCAACCATTTTTTCCCTCCTTCCTGAAGGCTGCGCTGAAGCAGGACGCATGGATCGGAGGTTCCGTTCTGGATTCCATCCTAAGCATCCGATACTGCTGGTCACAAGTTGTACGTGCCAGAACAAGCTTGTTTGTCACACAGCAACTGACAGGAACGTCCGGAGATGTGGTAGGAACGAGTACTCACTCACACCTGACAGCAACGTCGCAACGAACTCTCACGTCTCACCTGCGACATGCTTCACGAGGTAGCCACCACACCTACAAGGCTACAACACACAATCTTGTAGCTTGAATAATGACAATCTCAAAAAAAAAAAAAATCCAGCTTTCGGCTACGATTTTCTACTATTAATACAAATAGAAATCAATAGATATAGAATGATATCAAAGTGCTTTGTAAGAGTATTTATTGTACTCTCTCTATTCTAAATTATAAGATATTTTGACTTTTATAGAGATACATTGTTTTTATTATATATCTAGATAGACATAATATGTATTTAAATGTATAGAAAAAGCTATGAATCTAGAAACTAAAATCTCTTATAGTTTAGAATGGAGGTAGTACATGATATCTTAGTATCTCCATATCCAAAATGACAAGAGCTATGAAATCAGAGGAGGAATTATACATCTATCTACTCCATATATCATATCTATACTTTCTATTAAAATGAGAAATTTTATTTCCATCAAATTTTCGCCCATACGTCACAGTCCTCTAAGTATAAGAGTTATTATGTTTGGTTTTACTAACACTAGTAGTACACCCCTGATCGGGTTAGCGCTAGCGAAGAACTAAGGGTGTCCTCAATGTCAACTTGCAAATAGCTAGCTAGATGGAGCCTAGAAAGAATAAAAAAAGAGACCGTAGTGGAGAGTTATGTGAGTTATAAGAGAGTTATTTCTGGGAGATCATGCTAGACTAGCTATTTGTAAGTCGCTAGCTATTTAATATCTCACCTTCATAGTCAATAGAATTCTTCATTTGAAAACCATCGGAGACGCTCTAATAGAGCATGGAAATTGTGGGGCCCACCGGACGGGGTCTCTCTCGTGTGGGTAGTACACAAGCAGTATAGCAGCACTGGAGGCGGCGTCCCTGTCACCCTCTTGTGAAGACACCGCCATGCCAAGCCAAAGCCCCGCGACCCGCTGCCCTTTCATCAATCACCACCAACCCGCCGCCGGTGCGTCCCCTGCAGGCTGCACCTCCTCCTCTTCTTCCATGCAGGCGCACACGGACACGTGGCACGCCCGCGCTGCCTTCCTACCGCCGCCGACCGCTTGTCTCTTCCCAGGACCTCCGCCACAGCCATGTGTATAAATGCGTCGCGCTCTGCCGCTGTTGCTGCCGCCGTATCCATCTCCATCTGACCATCTCCATCCCTGGGCCGGAGGCTGCTGGACCGCTGCAGGAGCGCTCCCGCTGTGCCGTGCTCGCTTCGCCTTCTCCATTCCGCCGCCGCCGCCAAGCAAGCAAGGCATGCTAAATCTGGCAGCGTACCATTATTATTAGGCAGCACCGTACCCAGGCAGCCATTACTCGGCACTCACTCACTGCTGTTAGAGGCGTTTCCATTTTCATTTCGCCGCGACGACCGGGAGGATCTCGATCGGACACCGGAGAAGCTAGCCACACATCCAGGCCGCCGCGCCGGCGGCTGTTCTTGGAAACCGGCCGGGCGTACGTCGTCGCTGCGAGTCTGCTCGGAGTTTGACGGTGGTTTCCATTTGATCGATTCGGACACGCATGATTGATTGATCGGCCGTCTGGTTGGTCGTTGGTCGCGCGTCGCCGGAGCCCGGCGCGGCTCGTGCAATGAGCGACGTGTCCGTCCGCTTCGTGGTGGCGGCCGTGGCGGTGGCCGCCATCTCGCTAGCCGCCGCCGTGTCCGCCGCGTCGGCCGCGCACGACTACGGCGATGCGCTGCACAAGAGCCTGCTCTACTTCGAGGCGCAGCGGTCGGGGAGGCTGCCGTACAACCAGCGCGTCCGGTGGCGGGGCCACTCGGGGCTGATGGACGGGCTGGAGCAAGGCGTGGACCTGGTGGGCGGGTACTACGACGCCGGCGACCACGTGAAGTTCGGCCTGCCCATGGCGTTCACCGTCACGCTTCTCTCCTGGGGCATCCTCGAGTACGGCGGCGGCGTGGCGGACGCGGGGGAGCTGGCGCACGCGCTGCAGGCCATCAAGTGGGGCACCGACTACTTCCTGAAGGCGCACACGGCGCCCACCGAGCTGTGGGCGCAAGTGGGGGACGGCGAGTCCGACCACTACTGCTGGCAGCGGCCCGAGGACATGACCACGTCGCGGCGGGCCTACAAGGTGGACGCGGACCACCCGGGGTCCGAGGTCGCCGCCGAGACTGCTGCCGCCATGGCCGCCGCGTCCGCCGTGTTCCGAGCCGCCGGGGACGCGCACTACGCGCACCTGCTGCTCCACCACGCGCAGCAGCTGTTCGAGTTCGCCGACACCTACCGGGGACGCTACGACGACAGCGTCGACGTGGTCAAGAGCTACTACCCGTCCTCCAGCGGGTACCAGGACGAGCTGCTGTGGGCGGCGCTCTGGCTGCACCGCGCCACCGGCCGCCGCGACTACCTCCGCTACGCCCTCGACAACGCCGAGGCGTTCGGCGGCACCGGATGGGCCGTCTCCGAGTTCAGCTGGGACATCAAGTACGCCGGACTCCAGGTCCTCGCATCCCAGGTACGTTCCAACATTTGTGTAAAAATGTGTGAATTTGTCATTCTGGAAAAACACACACTTCATATAAACATATATATGGAATTAATTAAGGTGTATATGGAATTAATAATGTACAATTCTAATCCTTTTTACTATCTGATGATGATTGCGTCGTCATCCTGTCCTCTTGTTGTGTTGTGGTTGAAGCCTAACAAAATTTACCACCGTTGATTGAGGAGAGTGAAATGTTTGCTTTAAAAAACAGATTCTTTTTTTGGGGAGTAAAATGTTTGGCATGCATGCATTGCACAAGGCAGCACAACGTCTGAACCAACCAAGTGACATCCTTTTTTTTAGAATAGTACTCCGTAGGTGGTTAACATTCTCTTTTGGATGGCCCACGCTTGATGGGGAAAGATGTTTTAACTGGAAGCCTGCAATGCAAAGTGAGTAGCATGCAGCAGCACCAGTTCCATCTTCCAAGATAGCATCAAGGGCAAGCATGTTTGGTGCAACCTTCCCTTTTGCTTAGGCTATCTTACAAGCATAGCTCTGCTCACCCATTGCTTTTGCTTGTGTTTGAATTTGGTGGTGCACAGCATCTCCACATCCAACAACAACTTCATCTTGTGGAGGAACGCACATTGTGTAGTATACATGCGGATTTTAGTCATTTTATTTCATTTGCGAGGAAAGAGACGCGTGTTGATTTGGCACATCCACATTTCCTTTGGGAGAAACAGAAACCATATAGCATCAACAGCCTATATATTTTTTCGAGAACACTTCGAGACAGCCTATATATACACATGGACAAAATAATCTAGCTCATTAAGCAGAGGATCACTGTTCATAACCGTGGGGATCACAGCACAGGAGCTCTCATCAATTGTTTATGATGAGCAAGCAGATCATATCTTCCCTTGTCCTTTGCCAACCATTTCTGTCATTTTTCTCTCATGTGCTCTTGGTAGCATGCATTATTCTCTAACAAAAGAAACAGACTGTTTTCCTAACCCTGGGAATTTATTTATAAGGTGTAGTAGAGTAGAGTAGACTGATGACATTTTTTTGAGGGATAGTGGACTGATGACATCACCGGTAAGCCAAGCGTACAAGACAGACGTCTCTTAACAATGCAAACATTTCTTTATGCATCCACAAGCCTGCCTGCCTGTCCTCTATCTCATCATGCTTGGACTGTGATGTTCTGAAGCAAGCAAATCAACCAACTCTGAAGATTCTAGCCATCTTACCGGTGATGCACCTGGACAGAGGAGTCAGTGTCATTTTGAAATTTGTTAGTGAAAGCTTAACACATAAATAAATGATCTGACAGGGAGATAAAGAGAGAGCATGAGACAGATCTTGACCATGAAGACAGCACTAGAGCCAGTTTCAAGCTAGAACAATGGAACATCCATCAACACATGGTCCATTCAACTAACAGTAGTTACATGTTTGGAAAAGGTTGAAGTTGTTGGATCACAACCAGAGCCCTGACAAACTGAACCCGGAAAGAAGGATCATGTGGCTTGGATCCTGAATTTTCAAGTATAGTTTTACCTTTTCGGTTAGCTTATTATATACGAAGCCTACACAGTTAGTTTTGGATGACGCTGAAATTTGGACCATAGCAAGACAGGGGATGTGTCATATAGTACATCCTACATGGCTGCTCAATGGGCAATTGTGCATTCAATAGCTTCAAGTCTCACTCCTAATTCCTGAAGTCAACAGTAGTATAGTGTTTGGCCAAATGTTTGACAAACAGGAGCTAACAATAATGGAATATAACAATCTGATTTGACGTATTTCAGTCAGAATAATGACACTGCAAATGACTGTTGCTTGAAGCATAGTCTAGTTTATATTTTTGTTGCTTTAAGAAGAATACGGAAATACATTAGAACAAACATTGTGCTAATATCTCTTAATAAATCAAAATAGTACGGTCGAATTTTCTGAGACGACATGTTGGTCTGTTCTTGAAAAAAAAAGGAGAGTTTTTTTCTTCTTTTTTTCTTCAACAGCTGCTGACTTTGCTGTGTTGGACTGAATCTTACTGACAGCTGCTGGTGGAGGCCAAGGAGCAGCGGCTGCGGCTGAGCGCGGAGGAGGTGGCGGTGGTGGAGCAGCTGCGGTCCAAGGCGGAGTACTACGTGTGCTCGTGCATGAACCGGAACCCCGGCGGCGCGAAGCACAACGCCGGCCGCACCCCGGCGGGGCTGCTCTTCATCCGCCCCTGGAACAACCTCCAGTACGTCTCCGGCGCGGCCTTCCTCCTCACCGTCTATTCGGACGTCCTCTCCTCCCTGGGCCAGCCCCTCCGCTGCGGCGGCTCTGGCGACGACGACGGCGAGCCCGCCGCCAGGTCCGCGGCCGGCGACGCCGGCGAGGTGCTGGCGTTCGCCAAGTCCCAGGCCGACTACATCCTGGGCACGAACCCGATGCGCACCAGCTACCTGGTCGGGTACGGCGCGGCGTACCCGCGGCAGGTGCACCACCGCGCGGCGTCGAGCGCGTCGTACAGTCACGACCGGGACTTCATCGGCTGCCTGCAGGGGTTCGACTCGTGGTACAGCGCGCGGCGGGAGAACCCGCACGACCTCGTCGGCGCTGTCGTCGGCGGGCCCAACGGCGAGGACGTCTTCAACGACCACCGCGGCGCGTACATGCAGACCGAGGCCTGCACGTACAACACGGGGCCCATGGTCGGGGTCTTCTCCAAGCTCATGCAGCTGGAGGGGCAGTCGCCACGGCTGGAGGTGGCCGCGGCGGCGGCGACAAAAGCGCCGGCGGAGGATCTTTGATAGGAGAGGTCGCTCGATGACAAATGGTGGGAAATAAACATTTCATTTCAAAAGAGTACAGAGAGATGTGATATTGATTATTAGGATGGATGTGTATACATGATGATTCTTTTTGTTAATTCCTACTAGAGACTACCGTATTTGTTTCATGTTTTTGCACATAACAAAGGAATCGAAAAGAAGGAATTTAAATTTCAAATGGACCATAGCAATTTCAAAAATGAACTCGGTCTATAATTTTGTTGAACAAAGTTTTTTTTGTGTGACCAAATTATTTTTTTTAGTGGAGTGTGACCAAATGAAATAAAGAGTACAACGGCCCAATAGAACTGGGCTGGCCCAATTAAGAGTACAACGGCCCAATTAAATAAAAGCTAATAAAATCACCAGCAGGCCAAGCTATATAGGCTATAGACCGGCCCCTACGGAAGCCCGCGTGTCGGGACAACGGCCAAATAAATTTGGGCTGGCCCACTAATGGGCTGAAGGGCTCGAGGCCCCTAGTGTGTGCCGCGTAACAGTTGCGCTCGGCAGGAGTTCAACGGAATGCCGCACCACCGCCGTCGCCGCTTGCCCTGGGCTTCGGCTGCGGCGCCGCCTGAGGTGCTCGACGGAACGCGTCTCAGTGAGCCCTGTGGGGATCAGGCTAGGTGCTCCACCGCCGCACCAGAGGCGATGCGCGTCGACGTTCACCAGCTTGACGCCGCGAGCGTCGGCGCGCGCGTGGGGCGCTCGGTGAGGCGACTTCCTCGGCCGCCTACGCCCCCCTACGAGCGTGCCGCGGCCGCTGGGTCAGCGTGTGCCTTGCGCGGCGGCTCATTCGTGGACTCCGCGCCGACATGCGCACTGACGACCAGGACCGACTGAGGTCAAGGAGAGGAAAGCTGCCCCGTTTGGTTGCTGCCGGCCACTGGCTGTGCGTGTGACGGCCGGCCTCGCCTCAGCGTTGGCGTGACTTCGTCGGGGAGAATCGGATAGCGCGTGGCATGCCGACCTCAGGGTCTCCCAGGTCGCGCACTACCTTCGTCTTCGTCAGGCGCCCAGCTGCCCCGCATTGCGGAAAGGTTTTCTCCTGCAGTACACAACTGGTAGGCTCCATGTCATTGTCAGTCAGGGTCTCCATTTCTTTCGCTGTCCAAGTAGTTGGTAAAGCATGTAGTGCGTAGAAGATTCAGGGCTTAGTATCGTGATAAACGATGAAATTGTTGCTTAATAGTCAAGTCAGCGACAAACATACTGCTTTTTCTTGGTTTTATTTTATCTGTGTATGTGCAAGATTCGTATCAGGTCAATAGGTTGTTGAAGGATAGTGATTAAATTATTCACCGCAGCTCCACAAGATTACACACAATGATTATTAAGAGGCACACTGAAGCTACACCATAAGCTGCCCTCTGCACCAAATTTTCTTGAGTTTAAAATGGGATTAATTCTCTTTACTCCAGGTCTTGTTCCATTCCTGAGAAACACTGGCTTAATGCGTATTCTGAAATGCCTCATCCTAGCCCGGGGTCCACAATGTGAGCTGCGCCAGCTTTAGGTGATGCTGGTGATCATGAGACAGAATTTATTTTGACCATTGCGACAAGAGAGAGATCAAATGTAAGTGTTGTAATAATGATGTACTTGTCTCCTCACTGTTGGTGGGGCATAATCATGTAGCATGACAAGTTCTTTTTTTAATTGGAGAATACCTGACTTAGTTCCTTGGACGTTGACTTTCGTGTCCACGTTTGCGGCAGAGGACAACCTAGTAAGGTATGCATGCATAGGCACCTGTCAGTGGCTTAGTCCCATGGATTGGCATATATAATCGCTGTCTGTCTCTCTCAGAAGGTCTATGTTTATGTTTGCTCACAAGGTTGGATAAGAAGCATGAAGCTGAGTGTTGCTGTTCTCTTATTCTCTATCTTGCAGTATGCCAGCGGCCAGCCAGATAGCCGAGGTATGTTGTCCTGGTTCTGCGCTTTAAGTTCAGATGATAAATAGTGAAAAAATGCATGTAGAGCTCAACTGCTCATGTCATGTGTGCATTCCAAAGGTATACGGATGACTGCATGGTTGATAATAGGAATGCTTGATGGAAATCTATTTGTATAAAAGAGGAAAACAGAACCATTTCTCAAACCATTTTTGAAGATCAATGTGTACAAGCAATCTTTTGAAGCCAACCAGTTCCTCATGATTATTTATTTGCCATAGTCTTCTGACTTATATTTCCCTTTCAGGTTTCATAAGCATTGACTGTGGCATCCCAGAAAACTCTTCGTACCAAGATCTCACCTCAAGCATAATATATGTCTCTGACCATGGTTTCATCAGCTCGGGAGAAAACCGCAACATCTCCTCAGATTACATCAGCCCATCACTAGCACAGCGCTATTATAATGTCCGCTTCTTTCTAGATGGCACGCGGAATTGCTACACCTTGAGATCCTTGGTTGCCGGAAACAAGTATTTTGTTCGTGCAGCGTTCTATTATGCAAATTATGATGGCCTGAACAAGCTTCCTGTTTTTGATCTATACATGGGGGCAACTTATTGGCATGAAGTTAAGTTCAGGGATGCAGGTGCGATTAATTGGATGGACATCATAGTTGTGGCTCCTGCTGATTACCTGCAAGTTTGTTTGGTGAACAAAGGGATGGGAACTCCGTTTATCTCTGGGCTGGATTTGAGGCCACTGAAGAGTACTCTTTACCCAGAGGCAAATGCTAGTCAATCCCTGGTGCTGACCAATGCCAATCGGTTTAACATGGGGCCCACAGACAAGTCTGTAGTTCGGTGAGTTTGATTTAGTTCTGCATACATCAATTCATCAAATGTAACTGGCCAAGCCAGTCTAATCACCCTGTTGGTTGATAAAGTAGGAATTGTGATGACACAAATATTATAGGAAAAAATCCATATTACTTCCTCCAAGTTTGGCCAATGTCCAAATAACCCCAAACTAACATTTGGTTCAATTTACTCCCTCCAACTATTTAAGTTGGTCCAACCAACACCTTAAAAAGATTTTTCTTTTTTTGTTTCTCTATGTACAAATTATATTTTAGTTTCAAATTTTGTGAGGTGATAGAGGACATTGTATTTTGTGCTAGAAAAATGCACTATGAATTTTTCATCATCATGTTTTATACAATATTGTATCTCTAGTGTTAATTTATTATTAAATTTCCTAAGCTATCAAAATAGTGGCAAAAAGTTAAGATATATTTTTCTAACATAACTTATGATGTTCTCTATCATATCACAAAAGTTGATATTAAGACTCAACTAATACGTTGAAAAACAAAAATAACAAATCATGTTAAGGGGTAAACTAGACCAACTGAAATAGTTGGAGGGAGTAAATTGAACCAAATGTAAGTTTAGGGGGTAATATGGACATAAACCAAACTTGAGGGGAGTAATTTGGACTTTTTCCAATATTATATATTTTTTTTGAGGGAACATGAGGGGTAAACTCCCTACCGATTAAAACCATCAATCAAAAGGTTATAAAGGTGCAAACAAAGAGAAGATCAATCAAGAAACAAAGAAACAAATGAAAAGGATCAAATCAATTATTAGAGATATGTATAGTCCCCCCCTGATTGGGTGTGAGGTGATTTCCCAATATTCTACATCAATAACACAAAAGCTTCTAGCCATTGCTCGATAATTATTTTTCTTGGCTTGATGGATAACCTTATTAAACTCCTTGACACAAATATTCCGGGAGTACCTTGGTGTCTTGTAGACTTGTCGAAAATAATCTGAAAAATAAAAAGAAAATATCTTTATTAATGATTGTGTCTGCTCCTTTTAGCCACTTTTCCATGGATTGTCTCAGAAGAATGATACTTTAAGATGACTAATTTTGCACTATCTTTAATACCTTTTATTGTTAACTGAATGAACTGTACTACACAAGCATATTTCTTTGGCCCAAATAGGTACCCATTGGATCCCCATGATCGTATCTGGTTGACATATGGTGCCATCCCAACCTGGAACGAGGCATCCGCTACATCTGTTGTTCGGAATTACCTTACTGATCCCTATGATGTGCCATCTGCCGTCATGCAAAATGCCGCAACACCTTCCAATAGTTCAATAATTAATTTCTCATGGGATCCATCTGATCACTCTGTGAATATCAGCTCCAGATACTTCTTTGTTTTCTACTTTGCTGAGTTGCAGAGTGTAGCGAGCAATGAACTGCGGCAGTTTGATATCATTGTCAATAACAGCACATGGAACAAAAAACCTTATACTCCACCATACCTATTTGCTGATTCCTTTTCTGGTATGGTTCAGGGGCAAGCGCAGTATAACATCTCACTTGTTGCTACAAAGAACGCAACACTCCCACCTATTCTCAATGCCATGGAGATATATTTGGTGAAACTGATAGATGAAATTGCAACAGACCCTGGAGATGGTATGAGTTTAACAATGTATATTAGTGCATTCTGTAAATTTTCTATAATTGCTAACTGTATCGATGCTACGTTTTCTTACAATTTGCAAAACATGAAAAGTAGTCCACTTTTTTTAAAGGGAAAAGTAGCAAAACTAATTGTGCTGCATTTGTTTTCTCGAACACGCACGAGAGCTACGTATCATTGCATTAATAGAAGAAGAGAGTTAGAAGTTACAACACGCACATATCATTGCATTTGTGTTTATATCATATTTTAGATGTATTGCTATCTTGGTAACAGCTTGCTTATCCGTATACATGTTTTTCTTGTTTTTGCCATACCAGCTAGAGCCATGATCGCAATCCAAGAAGCTTTTGGTGTGTGCAAAAATTGGATGGGTGACCCATGTGCTCCAAAAGCTTTTGCATGGGAAGGATTGGACTGTACTGATCCTCCAACTGGTATTCCAAGAATAACAGCATTGTATGTTTCAGTCATATTTGACATAAAGAAAGAAAAATGAATCGTTATATAGCATTGCAAGTTTCAATTTAGACTCTCAAGCTGGACATAGCAAGAGCAGAAACTAACTGTTCTGCGTTCCTCTTTTTTTTTTGGCAGAAACTTGTCTTCAAGTGGGTTGGCCGGTCCCATCACTACCTCTTTTGGAGATCTGAAAGCACTCCAGTACCTGTAGGATTTTTCCACAATATCTTTACTTTAGACGTTAAAATGTGCTGTGGCATTTTTCTTTTGGGTACTACTTGCAAGTTCCAAATTAAGCCCATCTGGTTCATTTCCTCCCCTCTGTTTGTTTACTTGTATGTTTACCTGTTTTCTCTTCTTGTATGTCTAGTGATTTCTGCACTGTTTACTATAGTATAACTAAAATAACATGTATCTTGCAGTAAATTTATTGAATTTCATGTGAAATATATGTTCTCTTTCTTGTATGTCTCCACCGTACTATAAAACTTACATTTTGAAAGAAAACTAATCATGTGAAATATATATGTATTAGGAGAGGGCGCAAAGCCTGTTCGCAATTATTACTTTAGTCCTTTTCCTGAATTCAGACGTGAAATTAAGCTGATAAATAGTACCACTGAAACATTTTATTCCCCCATACCTTAAAGCTATTTCTTACAAGAACTGTTACCTATCCCAGGGATTTGTCACACAATAACTTGTCTGGCTCCATTCCAAATTATCTTGGGCAGCTTCCATTTCTAGTATTTCTGTAAGTCTTACTAAACATCTGCTCGAGTTTGGGAATCTTCATAGAACAAACTTTTCATATGCCATACATTTTCTTTACAGGGATCTCTCCAGCAATGATCTTTCTGGATCAATTCCTTATAGTCTTCTTCAAAAATCCCAGAATGGGACTCTATCACTAAGGTATGTTTTATACTTGTATGTTACCAAACTATGGAGCAACCCTGTTTTAAATCAAATTGTTTTATTCATAGAATTTATAAAACATACTTGGAGGATGCAGTTATACTATTTTAAATGTTCATTTAGTGTCATAGCATCTGTTTAAATGTTTAAAATATATCCTTTGTATTTGGACGTTTCTTGTTCCTCAGTTTCTTTGTGAGTCCATTTAATAAGGAAGCAGCACTTATCCCATTACTGGGTACTAGTTCATAAATAGTTTTCAGTAGCATTAGGGCAATATCATTACTTCGTAGTAAACAAAATACTGCTTTTGTGTTTGGAATTTTCATCCATACTAGAAGGAGAGCTCTACTAGAAGGCATTAAGAGTTTCAGTTCTTTAATGTAACATTTTTTTATAAGGGTTCTTTAATGTAACATTGTTTTGGGTAAAAAACATTTCTGAGAACAGTGACAGTGCTGCTACCTTTGCCTTGTCAATTTTTAGATCTGGTTGATGACCAAAGATATAGAACATCTCCCTTTATTTGGGTTATCTTGGAAGCATTTCTTAATGTGAATCATTCCGTGCATTTTTTTCGCTTCCAGGCTTGGTAACAATTCAAATTTATTTGGGAACGGTACTAACTATGGTTCAGGCCCAAAGAAAATGGATGGGGCACTTCTCTCTGCGATAATCATTCCAATAGTTGCTGCCATTGCCTTATTTGTTATCTTCATTGTTCTGCTGCTCCGAACACTCAAGGAAAAAGGTAATACAACATGGAGGAAATCATTTTTTTGGTGCCACGCGCTGTTGTATTTCTTGCCTTTTAATACCCTTTTTCATATGATGCAGCTAGGAGAAGGGTTGCTGATCCTAAAGATGAAACAACATTACTTGAGAACCGAGAATTCTCTTACAGAGAACTGAAGCATATTACAAATAACTTTAACCTAGAGATTGGCAAAGGTGGGTTTGGAGCTGTCTTCCTTGGTTACTTGGAAAATGGAAAGCCAGTCGCTGTGAAAATACGGTCAGAGTCATCTTCACAAGGGGGCAAAGAGTTTCTGGCTGAGGTAAATGGGAATGAACTTAAAGAACTAGATGTGCCACGTTTCCACTTAAGCTCCCCCCATGAGATATGATAATGACAATAATGCAGTAAAATTTCCTTGTATTGGCCTCCCCCCCTCCCCCTTCTGTAACCATCCGTTTCATAAGTCTAATGAACAGTAGATTGAAGTATTTTATGTTTTTGTAGATGGAATTACAATTAGTAATCATTCTTAATATGTTCTTTTTTCTTCCTGAACAACAATTCTCTGAACTACGCTGCAGGCTCAACATTTGACAAGGATACATCACAAGAACTTGGTATCCTTGATTGGTTATTGTAAGGACAAAAATCATTTTGCCCTTGTCTACGAGTACATGCCTGAAGGGAACCTGCAGGATCATCTGAGAGGTTGTTCATCCTGGCCACTCAAATATAGAATGCTAATATAAGATAATCCTGGTTTTAGTTGTCCTAAATTAGAAATCAACTGTGCTATATCTTAGCATTCAAATTACAGAGGAATGCTACATTTCTCAAAGAAGCAATTTGCAGATCCTAAAATAGCTGTGATTATGGTTACTCACTGCATAGATGCACATTGATTTTACAGTGTATGAAGTGCATGAATTTCTCCAACATGTGTTTTGAATTTATACTAACTGTGTTTGATTTCTTTTCTTTTCACTCGGTGTTCAATTTCTGTTGATGTGTCTAGACACTTCTACTCACAAACCGCTCACTTGGGAGCAACGCCTTCAAATCGCCCTTGATGCTGCTCAAGGTATGATGAACTGTCTCATTTCTGAGATTACCTTTATATATGTACACTATTGCAAAAAATATAAAAAAAAGTTTCACTTTATCGCAGGTCTGGAGTACCTGCATGTTGCATGTAAACCAGCACTGATTCACAGAGATGTGAAGAGTAGGAACATCCTCTTGACCACCGACCTTGGGGCTAAGATTGCAGATTTTGGTCTGACCAAGGCTTTCAGTGACTCAGAAACACATATCACCACTGAACCAGCTGGTACAATGGGCTACTTAGATCCTGAGTAAGTCTTGTACAGCTTCTCTCCTAGCTAGTATATCATAATCCACTTCCAGTTTCAAGATTTTTTTTTTTAGTTTAGTTTCAAGAAAATTGTCCCTTTTCATTTGGACTACCTAGAGTAGCATTATGTTATGGAAATGAATTATCTTAACCTGTCTACCAGTCTACCAAGTACTAGTAGTAACTGAACTCTACCCTTGCACAGGTACTACCGCAGTTACCGGATCAGCGAGAAGAGTGACGTTTACAGCTTTGGTGTCGTTCTCCTGGAGCTCATGACAGGCCATTCCCCGATCGTCCCGATAGACGAAAGTGTGAGCATTCACATTGGCGAGTGGGTGCAGCAAAACCTTGACCAAGGCAGCATCGAGAGCATCATAGATTCAAGCATGGAATGCGACTACGACATCAACTCTGTCTGGAAAGTCGCCGACCTGGCGCTGCACTGCAAGCAAGAAGTCTCCAGGGAGCGGCCTACGATGACGGATGTGGTGGCACAGATCAAGGAGAGTATGGAGCTCAAGGCCCGCCGCCGCGATCGGGAGCGGAGCTCGGCGTTGGCTGGTGGTCATGGTCTGAGCTATGCCGGTGAGAGGAATGTGTTTGAGGTAGAACGAAACGTTGGGGAGATATCAGAGGCCTCTCTTGGTCCGGCAATGAGATAAGGTTTCTATCTTTTGCTGAAGTGCTAGATGTTGACCAGGTTACAGAGGCAATCAGATAAGTAGGTTTAAATTTGCTGGCCGGTACAAAATGTTCCCCAGTAGAAAGATATAATAAAGAAAAGCCGTTGATGCAAGATTAAAACCATTTGGAAGGCGTGCATGTAAAACAATTCCCAATTAATTATAGGTGATCTGCTTGTTATGGTAATTGGCAAACAAGCAATGATCAGGCATACATAATATCAAACCCTTGACTAAGCTACTAGTAATAGATAGTATTACATTCCTTGCACGTAACTGTTGAGCATTTTTATAACTGAAGGAATTGCTTCTGCAACTGGTACGGATTAGGACGTACCATTCACATTTGGTACCCGGGTAAGGCCACGGTCCGATTCAATATCCAATATCTAAACGGCGATAAACAGTATTGGAGCAGTGCTCGAGCCGTCCGATCAAGATCTAACGGCTAAGGATTTCCTGTTGATGTGGCTGAATAACGTGCGAGTGAGACTGGTGCAAGTGGCTAAATTACGTGCTACAGAACTTGTTCAAAATTCACTGGTTTCGTATTGCCTCAAATAATTGGAGATGCTAGTGTGCGGACGTCCAGACGGACACGCACGTCGGGACACCCGCACCTCTCCGTCTTCTGCGCCTCCTTCGTTTTCTATGCCCATAGGCCGCGTCACCCTGCCCGCGCCCCCACTTGTACACAGGAATCACCCGCTTTAGCTCTGCTTCCCACACGCACGTGGGGACCGCCTGCCCTCATGCTCCGTATTAAGCACGCGGGGACCTCCTGTGCCTTCTGCCGACCGCTTCCCATGCCCACTTCACAAGGGAACCGCATGCACGACACCCTAGCAGCTATAACAGGCGGCAACGACAGGTGGGTCCTATTGCAACATGTGCAACACCAGACCTACTTTTGCAACATACAGATGTAACACTTGCAACATACGTCCGAAAAAACTGAAACACTTTCAACATACGTCTGAAACACTTGCAAAACGCCTTAAAACACTTGAAAGCCGTTATAAATACATACAACATCCAGATAAAATATTTGCAACATATGCGTGAAACATATGCAACATCCAGATAAAATGCTTGCAACATAGTCTAAGAAACATATGAAACATTTGGAACAGACGCTTGTAACATGCATGTATAGCCATTGCAACATATGTAACATCCCGATCTACTTTTGCAACATCCATGTGAAACACTTGCAACATACATCTGAAACATACGCTTGCAACATGCGCTTTCGTGCAACCACGTGGCAAGCGTGGAGAGCACCTCTCAAACATGCGCTTTCATGCAACATCTCCTTCCTGCTTGCTGCATGGAGGAACGCAGCTACGAGCGCGCCCTAGCTGTGCCAAGCCACCATGTCGCTGTCGTTCAAGATCATCCACGAGTAGGCAGGTCATCAGCATGGGCGACGTGAAGGACGTCTATGCGAGGAGGGGGCGGAGGCGCATCAAGGCAGTCGGCACAACACGCCGCCATAACAAACAGGAGGGTCGTGCAACTACTACACATGTGGCAGAGGAGTTCATCTACTGCACGACGTCGGCCGGAGGGCCGCGCCATAGGGTGGCGGAGGAAGCCGCCAGAGAGGTAGCCACATTTGGCACCAGAGAAAGTCGAGAACGACACAAGGGCCAGGAGGAAGACGGGCGGCTGCGGCGGGTAGGAGTCGCGATGGAGAGGGAAGAAGGCGGGCAGCCACGCTCGGGCGGTGGAGATGCCGGTCGGCGCCCGGCGGGTGCCCAGATGCCATGTAGAATGCCAAGGCGGCGCGACGGAGCACGTTCGTGGTGTTGCAGTGATTTTTTTAGAAACTCCGTGACTAGAGATCCTTTTAGAGAAGCGAGTGGACGAGCGGATAGGATAGGAGTGGTCGTTGGGCTGGCATCGTGGCCCACCAACAGGAGTGTCTGGTTGGATGAGCGGATAGGATAGGATAGGATAGGATAGGGGTCGTTGGTCTTTTTGAGAAGCTAGGTTTGTGTAGGATATGTGCAATTCTCATAAACCGATCTACCTATGAACGAATTAATAGCATCCTAGAGCGAGCACATCTAACTACTCCTATCTAGTACCTAGTACAAATTCGTTGATTGCTTTAGAAACGGGATGTGAAGTGGAGAACTGAAACATCATGTGCCAACTTCTTGGTGACCCTTTATTTATTGGATTGGTGGATGATGTACAACAATTTCTTATGGCTCTTTTGCTTATGGGGTTTGCTAGCGCTCGGACATCCAGCGTGTGAGACGTGTCCGGACGCCCGCCCTTTGGGTTTCGTCCCATGAATCAATTCGGCAGCCGCTGGTCCCCCCGACTCCCTTGTTATTTCACATGTCCGTAGGCTGCAGGGCTCTCTCGCTCGATCACTCGTATGCATGGTTGCATGCAACTCCTGCCGCTTGGTCACGCTGATGCCGCGCCTGCTGCCGCGTCCACTTCACTTCCCGCGCACGCGGGGACCACCTCTGCCTGCACCCACTTTCCGCGTCTGCTCATAGAACACTTGCAACATGAAGCATTTGCTACAATATACATATGAAATAGATGAAATATTTAGAACATACTCTTGCAACATATGTGTATGGCCACTGCAACATATGCAACATCCAGATAAAACACTTGCAACATATATTTAAAACAACCAAAATATTTGGAACATACACTTGCAACATACGTGTATGGTCAATGCAACATCCAGATAAAACACTTGCGACATACGTTTGAAATAGCTGAAACATTTGAAAACATACACTTGCAGCGTATGTGTATAGCCAGTGCAACATATGCAACATCCAGATAAACCACTTGCAACATACATTTGAAAATAGCTGAAACATTTGAAACATACACTTGTGTCGGGGACCAATACTAGGGTACCCGAAGAGGAGGGGCTAATGGTCGTCAAACGTTAATCCATCCAAGTAGTCAAGGGCGCGACTACAGCTCCAACCGACCCCGACCTCTGGCCGCAGGCTCCGCCTCGCTCGACCCCAAGGTCGTGCGATCCGCCTCGCCCGACCTCTAGGGGCGAGCTCTGCCTCGCCTGACACCGAGGCCACGGGCTCCGCCTCGTCCGACCTCTGAGTGTTGGCTCTGCCTTGTCCGACCCCTAAGGGCTGGCTCTACCTCACCGGACATCCGAGGCCGTGGACTCCGCCTCGTCCAGCCTCTGGGGGTGGGCCCCGCCTCACCCAACACCGAGGCCGCAGGCTCTGCCTCATCTGACCTCCGAGGGCTGGCTCCGCCTCGCCTGACACCGAGGCCATAGGCTCCCCTTCGCCCGACCTCCGAGGGCTAGCTCCGCCTTGCTCGACCTCTGAGGGTGGACTCCGCCTCGCCTGACACCAAGGCCACGGGCTCCGCCTCGTCCTTCCCCTGAGGGCTAGCTCCACCTCGCCCGGCCTCCAAGGTGGCGGACTCTGCCTCGCCTGACCTCTAGAGGTGGGCTCTGCTTCGCCCGACACCGAGGTCGCAGGCTCCGCCTCGCCTCGACCCCTAAGGACTGGCACCGCCTCACCTGACCTCTAGGGGCTGGCTCCGCCTCGCCCGACCCTTGGGTTTGCGCCCATCTTCACTAGCCTCTGGGGGAGGAGTTCGCCTAGCCCGACCCCGATGCTGGGGGCTCCGCCTCACTTGATGGAGGCCCATATCGCCGCCAACCACTCTAGGTCCAAGCGAGTGGGTCTGGGTCAAAACTCTGACACCAGAGAGGTGATCGACACGCCCCGATATGACCCATGGCCATGACGAGCCATACCTAGGGGTTCACATCAGGAACAACGTCGGGCGTACTGGTGTTGTTATGCCTAACCCTCGTACGAACACTGATAGGCGCGTCGGTTCACCGTGAAGTCCGCTAGGACGGAGTGGAGCACCACTACCAGGAGGCGATGCCTACACATGGCGCTAGTGATGGACAAGGCTGCGATGTGGAGCTATCCCTGCTGACGTCTACAGGGTCGGGGGAGACCCGCATGAAGGAAAAGAAGGACCCGGTGATCCTAGGGGACTTCTTCTCCTTCTCGTTCTCTTCTCTTCTCCCTCCACTGTAACCTGCGCTTTCCCTTAGCCTATAAAAGGGAAAGCGGGGTGTCTCATGAAGGGGACTCAAATCTGATCAACTCATCAAACCCTAAACACATAGCCAAGCAGCGACCGAGCTCTCGACACCCGCTCGTTCCTTCCACCAGAGACTTGGGAGCCGTCCCTCTCTCGCCTGTTTGTAACCCCTACTATGAACTTTTAGTGATAGTAACACGAGCAACAACAATGAACTAGACGTAGGGACATTCTACCCAAAGCAGAATAAACCTCGTGTCCTCTTAACACACCATCCGAGCCAGACGTGCAATATTATAAATTTACTAGTTGGTGGCAACTCGAAACACCGACAGTTGGCGCGCCAGGTAGGGGCCTTTTGCGCGTCTCAACATCCACACTAGGCTTTGGATGGCCAGTCATGACATTAGCTGGGTCCCGAGTGTGCACATGCGCTTCGGGGACCTAGACTTCATCGTCACAATGGAGGGAGAGCTGGTGCGGGCTCCCACCGCTGTCCAAACTCTCCACTTCTCTGGCCTCGATGCGATCACCGAGGCGCTTGAGGAGCTACAGCTGCATGCACCGGAGGCCCGCGCCCCTCGGGGTGGCCAGCTCCTCGGCTTCGACTACAGGAGGTTAGAGCGCCAGCTCGATGCCTTCCTAGGACCCCGACTGACCTAGGAGGACCTGCTCCACCTCACCTTCTCGTTCACTAACGTCATGGCGTAGCTTGTTGGGGGAGAGCCCCTCCCCCCGGAATACCTCATCCGGAGCGCCTCGACAGCACTCCCATTCGGTCTCCACGCAACGCCGCAGAGACCGTTGGCCACCTTATGGCACAACGCATGCCTCCATTCCCCGCGAACAATGAGTTCATGGGGATGACCGAATATGTCGTGGAGTCTTTCCATGACCTC